GAACTCGTGCAGGGTGGCTGCCGGATCTCGCTCCTCCGCGGCCACTGTTCTACTGTCTTTTACCAAGTTCTTGACATCATAATCTACATGGACTATCTATGGTCTTTTAAATATTGTTCTGTCCTATTTTAATTTCTCTAAAACTTTTCGATTTTAATATTTTAATTAGTATTCTGTTTTAATCTTTGTCGTTAATTTTATTTAATTTAATACTATAATAATTAATAAAATATAAAATATTGATTAAAATAACTAAAGTAACAAATAATACTTAAAAAGTTAAGATAATTAAATTATTTTTACACGCATAATTTAATTAAGTAATGTATTTATTATTTGATATAAATAAGATAATTACAGATAATTTTATTTTATAAATTATTTTTAATTTTTATGGAGAATTAAGATCTTGAATGAGTGGGGATAATTTATTTTAAAAAAATATTATATGTATGAAAGCAAAAGCATAAGTATTATATGGAAAAAGGGAAATTTTTGTTAGGAATGAAAAGTGTGATACCCTCTATCTCGCATGTCATATTATATAAATAGTAAACATTGAATAACATAATACTTTATAAATAAAACCAAATGTGTTCAAGTGAAAAGTATCATATTTTTAACTTAAATAAATTAACATAACCAAATGAAACTACAAGGAATTAAAACTAATATTTTCAAAATAAATCATAAGAAACTACATCCTAACTAAGTCTAACTATATTCCGATGTCACATCCTATCATAGCATAATCTACTATTGAGGATTAAGCATCATTACCAACATCCTTAACCTCATGCTAATGATCACTTGCATAACAACATAAAAATAACACAAAACAAAAAGAGTGAGAACCATCTCGCTTTAACTCATGGTTGAGGTACAAGCGGATAATCAAACACAAATAAGACATAAGCAACACAACATATTAATTATAATAATAACAACATATTTCATTCATTTATACATCATACTTAAATTCCACATAACTTTAGGATGCATATGCATTGTACATTGACTACATATTGTCATACACGTGACAATAGTAAAAATATCACATGGTATATTGTCTTTAGCAACACACATATAATAGTCTAGGAGTACATGTCAGGTCATAAACAAGATAGATGAGTCGTGTAAGATACATTCCATGCCCACAGAGGACAAAATTAAGACTTTCAACCAAGTTATCCCCAAGGATCGATCCGTAAACTTTTACACAAAGGAGTTTTTCTTGGCGATGTATTCTATATTGCACCCTTAAAAACACTTTTTATGTATATGATGCATGTCAAACAAACTTTATGTATAACAATTCATATGATCTTAATTCATGTATTACATGTCTTATCATATCTCGACCTTCATCAATCACTCGTATACATACACATATAGATTCATACACATCTTAACTCCATAACACAAGAATGACATAATGTAATCTAGGGAACCTCATACTAAACTCGTAGATGGAACAATGCTCGACGACACATGTCCCACGCTTGACGCGATACCTCTAGAGGACCATGTTGGTCTCTGTTTGAACTATGCCTAATGTGGTCGAGTTCATGTCTAACAAAAACACAACAAGGAAGCCTTGGAGTGTCCATGCCCAACGAGTGTTAGCTCACACTTGGAGGAAGCATCACAATAAATTCTTGGAGCTTTTGCGCTTGGCAAGGGTTCTCCCAAGCCCAACGTGAGAGACCCCTAGAGCAATCTTTGCTCTCGGTCTTGATGGTGTTCGACAAGTCCGAAGTGGCTTTCGACGTTGTATTAGAAACATCACATTCTTTATAATTGTAAAGTTAAGAACAAAGAGGTAAACACCCAAAATCTTACTACAATAATAAAAATATTCCAAAACATGTAATGATCATTCTAAACAATATAATTTATGCATACAAATATATGTTCAAGCAATCTCCCCACATAACTACCAATCATTTCTTTAGGGTTTCCTACGAGAATCCATAAGAACACCAAAACATACAATTTCAAGTCAAACTCAAAAATTATCAACACATAATATAATTTACATCAATTAGACCATACAAAGAGAAATAAAGAAGATAAAGACATATTTGGGGAAAACTCATCATACATAGACATACAATAGAAACATGATTGAGGTTAATCTCATTACCTAACATATAATCTCACTCCTAGAGCAAAGTTTCTCATTCTCTCTTACCTTAATAAGCATTAGACAATGAATGTAAGACTCTGGAGGTGATTTTCTTCTTCTTCATGTTCTTTGAGCTCTAAAACACCAACATGTACATGAAAGTAAAAGAAATGTAAAAAACTAATTGGGAGAAAAATGCTCTTTTGAAAAGTAACCTCTTAGTTAAAAACATCAACCATAGAAAATCCCTTCCTTTAATAAATAAATAAACAATATAATCTTTAATTATAAAAACTTCACAATATATTTATATAAAAATAATTACAAATAATTATTAAAACCAACATATTTAATTATAACAAAGTATAATAATTAATAATAAAAATAAGTATTTTTAATAAGAAAACACCAAGTGTTACAAAAAGTGAGTCGAAAAGAGATCAAAATGAAAAAAAAGAACTAGCTAATAAGGACAAAAATTTTGATAAAAATAGACAAATTTGGAGCACTAGGTTTAAATTAACAATAGAAGGGGGCAAAAAAAATAAAATAATATAACCCATGGTGTTGTATACACTATTGTGTTTTAAATGTTGTTGCTTTTATATTAGGTTGTTGTTTATGTGTAAGTTGCATGGATAATGTCCTAGACATGAGAGCATGTTGAGTTTAGCTTGAGGATAATGGCATGAAGCTATTGGAGATGGTTGAAGTCCCCAAATTTTAATTAAGAAAATTTAGTCTTTTAAATATTATAATTATACAATTTTAATTTTTTAAATATCACAATTATACAATTTTTGATCTATCTAAATTACTTATATTGTAATTTTTATTAATGTATTAAATAATACATAATTATTATTATTAAAATTACTAATATATGTAACTTGAATAAAAATTTATATAATTATAGTATTTGATAAATTAAAACTGTTCAATTAAAATTTAAAAGATTAAAATTACATTACTGTTATACTTCGTTAATTAAAAACGAATTCATACCTATATCTTTTATTTAGTTTTAAGTTAAGAAAATTTATGAATTGTAACTACAAGAAATTGTCAATTGTGATAGTTTTTTACGGTCATAATTGTCAAGATAACCACAACAATTCATAAATTGGACTAATTTGAAACGAATGAAAAGATAAATGATTAAAACGAAACAAAATAGAAAAACAAACTAAAAATAGAAAATAAGTTAGAGAATCAAAAATTAAATATGCCTAATAATTACATGAATCCTCCCGTCCTTTTTTTTTTTTTTAATTGTCATTTTCCCTCTCTTATTACTAGCACATAGTAAATTGGAAAGTTATGTATATTATTTGGTCAACGTGGTTATTAAAGAGAAGAAAAAAAAAATCCTTCTCATTTTAAATTTATCACCATCTTCAGCACATTTCATTGCCATGTAGCCGGCAGCATCTTACCAATGGCATAACCAAAGAAAATAAGAGGGGAAAAGAAAAATCCTCACAAGATTTTCCAAATCCAAATTTTTTTAAATCTTAAGTTTAAACCGCGATTTTTTTTTTTAATTTTAAAAAGCTGTATAGAAAATGTTGGATTAATTCCAAATATAAAAAACAGACAAAAGCTTTTAACAAGGTAGATGAAAGAGTTGCTAATATGGTTTTTACTAAAGGCATAATCAAAGGAAATACGAGGGGAAAAAACCTTACTAGATTTAGCAAATCCAAATTCTTCGAAATAATATGTTTAAACTGTATTTTTCTTAAAGTGGTACAGGAAATGTTGGATTAATTCCAAATAAAAAAAAAAAAAACACACACAGAAAGCTTTTGAAAAGGTAGATGAAAAGAGTTGCTAACATAAAGTTTCATACATGCATTTTAGGTCTCTTGGAATCTCCTAGAAAATCTACCTGTATGGGATGCACCTCGTGCTAAAGACGGAAGGTTCAATAAAGTGACATGTTATCTGATTTTCAATTATTTATTCATTGTCAATTTTGAAGTGTCTGTGGTAGTTACCACATGAGTAAGTATGGGGTTCTTGTACAATAAAGATTGATATCAAATCTTATCAATTATCAATTATGTGATTTAGTGATACTATTTTTTTTTTTTTGGGTTTAGAAGGCGAAATCTATTTTTATTTTTGCCCACTAAAAAAATGCAATTATATTTTATTAGTAAAAATACAATAATGATTTTTAATTAACAAAAGAAAAAAATGGAAAGATTCTATTTCCAATTCCAGCAAACCTACTATATTTGATGTTGTTACCCCTATCAAGGACAAGAGGTGCCATTTGCAATACCTCACCTTCTAACCAAATCACAACCCAAAAAGGAACCAAAAAACAACGAAAGAAAATCTCAATCGAAAGGATGAAAGGTATCCACCATGCCACAATATTTCAACCCCTTTCGAATCTGTCATTAAAAATCTCAAATAGATATTATGATTTAAAAATTACGAAAATAGTATAATGTTTTTTTAACAATTATCCGCATGGTAGAGGTACAAGTCACAAGAAGTCAGTCTTGTGAAATTTGACTTGAGCTATTTATTATACTTTGTGATAATTAATGTAGAAAGATGACAAAATTTTCTAACCATAAAAAAAGTCGTGAGAAATTGTTTGTAGAAACCCATAGTCAACTTTTGCACCTTGATGGCCTAATTTAGTTAAAATTTTGATAATAATAAAAGTAAAATACTGTATTTTAATTAATAAAAGTAAAAGAGTAAAAGGATCCGCTAGAAGGAGGGGTTGAACCTCCGACCTTGTGGTTAACAGCCACACGCTCTAACCAACTGAGCTATTCCAGCTTTAGAAGCTTGATATCTTAAAAGTTAGGAAAAGGTGAAAAAAGAAGAAACGTGTTGAACAGAAATGGCAATTGGCAACGAATTCTTAACGTGCATTTGAGTTAGTACTAGTGGTGAGTGGTCTCTCTGTTTTTCTTTGTTTTTGGTTTGGTTGTGTTGTCCGTGGCGAACGAAGACGAGAGAGAGAGAGTATATAAAGAACGTTCCCATGCACCCACCACACTGAGTCTTCCCATTTCCCTTCCCTTCAATTTCCAATGGCGGGTGCGCATTCCCTAAGACACCACAACCAACAGCAACCCAGCTCGCGCCTCCTCCTCCTCCTCACCGTCCTCCCCCTCACCCTGGCCGCCCTCGCCTTCCTCCTCCAATGGCGCGGCGGCGTCACCGACCCCCTCACCCGCTGGTCACCCGATCACGACCAGTTCCCCGGCATGTCCGGCTCCCCTCCCTCCCTCCGCCACCGCTCCCACGGCGATTGCAGCCACCCCTTGGCCCAATCCCACAACCCCTCCTTCCCTTACTTCCGCGACTGGGCCTTCGATTACTCCTCCCACCTCTCCCCCAAGGTCCGCTAAACCCTCACCCCTCCATTTCCGATTCTTTTCTTTCTCATCACTCATCACTCATCACTAATCGCTTCTTTTTCAATTCAGATATGCATCACCACCAGCACTTCCGCTGGATTGGAACAGACGCTGCCCTGGATCTTCTACCACAAGGTCATCGGAGTCTCCAATTTCCTCCTCTTCGTCGAAGGGAAGGCCGCATCGCCCAATGTCACTAGGGTTTTAGAGACCATTCCCGTCAGTTCCTCAATTCCTTTATCCTTCTTTTTATTTATTGGATCTTTCACTGAAACGTGTTTTTCAATTTTTGATCAGGGAGTGAAGGTTATATTTAGAACGAAGGAGCTCGAGGAGCAGCAAGCCAAGAGGTATTTCAGACTCTTTTTCCTTTTTGATACAATAGGAACTGTTTTTTTTTTATTTTTTTTATTTTTTTTGCTTTATTCAGTGGGGGACTGTTTGTTGCGAATGAACTTGTTGAGCGTTCGATTTTAATGGAAAGTGAATGTTGTTTCGATGGTGTTGACTTTTCTCTTGGCTGTATTTTGTGTTTGTTTGAAGTTCGGCCCGCGATCTGGATCCGGTTTGGTTTGTGTCTAGTTTGTTAGTGCAGATCTTTGGTGGGGGTTTCGGGTTTGGATTATTCAATTAATAGCTGTTTCTGATGTGGATTGCAGTGATTCTAGCATTTTCTTAGAAAGTTTTTTTTTTTTTTTTTGGCTAAATCTGAATGTATACCTATTTGGAAATGATGATGAGATTCAGAAAATGGACGTAATCAAATGTTTGTTTTATGAGATCTTGCCGTTATGTGAAAAAAAGGGATGTCATCAAGTTCTGATTCGCAATTAAATTCCTTCCTTTTTTATCTTTGGTTTGAAAATCAACATTAAACAGTTGAATCATGGCTGGAACAGTTAAACTTTATTGGTCAAATGATTCTTTGACATTAAATCAAGGCTTGATTCACCTGCTGCTCCATTGCTTTATTCTTGTTATCTAGGAATTCTCAGACATGGAACCTTTTTTTATGAATTGGCAAGTTTACCCTTCATTAATTTGTTTCTTTTTAATAAAATACCCATTCATATTTGTGATTTCTACCCTATCAGTACTTGCATATTAATAAAAATGATTATATGGAGGCGAGCCTTGGTAGGGTTGCTGTTTTGTGTGACCTGATGGTCATGGGTTCTACTTGTTAAAAACATCCTAGCACGGGAGCCAAGTATTCTGAACCATGCTCTTATTTATATATTTCTATTTTCTTTATTATTTCAGCCGAATATGGAATGAGACTTGGCTGGCAACCTTCTTCTACAAACCATGTAACTACGAGTTGTTTGTGAAGCAATCTTTGAACATGGAAATGGCTATTGTCATGGCAAGGGTATGGAATATGATTTCTTTTGTTGGATTATTTATTATCATGCCTCCAACATTGTAGTTTATCTTTTTATGATCTAAATTGTTGCTCGACAATTTTTTTGTATTTGTTCAGGAATCTGGAATGGATTGGATCATCCATCTGGACACCGATGAGCTGATGCACGCGGCAGGAACACAAGAGTACTCTTTAAGACAGTTGTTAGCTGATGTGCCTGGAAATGTTGATATGGTTATTTTTCCAAATTATGTGAGTGCAAGAGTTTTATATAGATATTATTTGATGTAGTTGATCAAACTCCACTCTTTGCCCTGTTGATATTCATTGATATTTTGAACTTGGTCCTGGAATGTTATTTATTTCAGGAAAGCAGTGTGGAGCGAGATGATATCAAGGAGCCATTCAGTGAGGTATTTGCTTAGATAGCTTCTCTAAGTTTTCAAACAGATGATTATAAATTTAGTTTATGCTTGTAAATTCTGTTTTTTTCTTTTAGGTGGGGTGGTTGGTATCTATTAATTAAGAGAAGTTTGTTTTTTGTCTTTGTTGTGTGATATTATTACGTGTGGGAAAAAAACTCACTGAACTGAAATTACAAACATTTAAAGTTATCTTTTCTAGAAACAAACCAATTATAACTTGGGGACTCATTTAATGTAGACATACAAAAGCAGACATGCACCGACATTCATACTCAGGAAACATTTCTGCATTTTTTTCACAATGAAACTTTTGCGCAATGTATAGAATGCAGAAAGGATTATTTTTAGCTAATTAAGATGCATTATTTAGTAATTATACTTCACTGGAAGAGTTTTTAAATTTTAATGATGTACAGAAGAAATGAGGCAGAAGCTAACTTGGTACAATTGTGTGATTCAGAAACCAATGTGTTAAAATATAATTTATTAAGCAGTATCTACATTATACCGATGCAAAGTATACAAACAAAAACCCAATACCCTTAGAATTGGTGGTATTTTGTTGGTTAAAAACAAAAAGCATCTATTTGGGTAAAAGCAATTGTTGCAAATCCAGATTTTTACCATGTCTTGTTGCATTTTTATTAATGGTGTTTGTTGTTGTCCCAACTTTTTTGTCCTTTTTGAACCAAGTATATTTATTGATACATTTAACTTATGATGTTTATTTTAGGTTTCAATGTTCAAGAAGAACTATGACCATCTTCCAAAGGATGTATATTTTGGAAATTACAAAGAAGCAACACGTGGCAATCCAAACTATTTTCTTACTTATGGAAATGGGAAATCAGCTGCCAGGATTCAGGATCATCTCCGTCCAAATGGTGCCCATAGATGGCACAACTATATGAAGACACCTAAGTATGTTGATTCTGCCAGTCATTAAATATGAGTATGCATCAGATAATACACATGCATATGTATGCATTTTTACTACCAACATGTATTTTGGAGTTTAATAGTACGTCCAAAGGTTAATCATAAGGAATTTATGGGTATGCTGATTTCATATAATATATTCATATATAAGTTGCCTTATGCTTATTTCAAGGTAAACTGTTGATATCATATTGACTTGCATTCCTAATCTGCCATGCCAGCAATAAATGCTATCTTGTACAGGCTTTAATTATTTTGTAGGTCTCACATGAATTTCACCCAATAATATTGTGTTGAAAGAAGTGTGTTAATGAGTGCATTGCTAGCTTTTCTCTTTCTGTTTGATCTTGTTCACTGATGTTAATTTGCTTGTGAATCATATGAATAAAATGTTTAAAACCCCTAATGTTAATAGTGAAAAATGCACTGTTTGTGTCTATATTTGACACTGTTCTATATGCCAAATCTTTCATCAGTGAGATAAAATTGGAAGAAGCTGCTGTTCTGCACTACACCTACACCAAATTTTCTGATTTAACTTCAAGACGTGATCGGTGTGGCTGCAAGCCTACAAAAGAAGATGTTAAAAGATGCTTCATGTTGGACTTTGACAGATCTGTAAGTTATAATTGCCTTGTACATTCTAGTTCCTTCTAGTTATAATTATTACCAGTTTCTTCTTGGCTAATACGTAAGTTATTATTTGCAATTCCATTCATTTTCCAAAGATTATCAACTGGGTTTAACATTTTGATGTTTGTTTAAACTTTAAAGGCCATACTCATGTTTCCTAGATGAATCATAACAAAACTCATGTTTTGTTGTTATTTTTATGCATGGTTATGTGACATTCCCTCACATTTATTCTTATAATCAGAACATGTTCTTTTCTTGTTTACTAATTGCATTCCCGGACACCCTTCCCTCTTATTTTCTTGATGGTTAGCCTAAAGACATGAGTAATTTACACTGAATCCATTTATGTTATATTTTTAGTCTGACACAACTCTTCAATGTTTGGTGTAGGCATTCATAATTGCTTCAACTGCAACCGAGGAAGAAATGCTTCAATGGTAAGTAGTGATATGAAATCAATTACATAGTTTTTAACTCAAGTATTGATCTTATTATACTATTCAAGGGGGGTAGGGGTGGACAAGCAGTTGAAGATTTACGAAAGTCGAGCAACAAAAAAATTATATGCTTTATCATTTACAAATTACATGGAAGTAATTCCATTTTACAGCATGGCAAGCTCGCATATTCAAGTCCTAATTTATTTTGTCTCTTAAATGGGCCTTTTTTTTTCATTTAGGTACCGTGAACGCATAGTGTGGACTGACAAAGCACTCAAAATGAAACTTATGAGGAAAGGCATCTTGACTCGTATTTATGCTCCCATGGTAAGTTCAAATGCCTTGAATTTGCTCTCTAGTTTCTCTCTAAGCAATTTACATAGTTATCAGCTGCATAGTTATTGAAAAATGGTCGTAACTTTTCCAAACAAAATTTATCTTTGCAGATTATTATTCAAAGTTTGAGGGAATCTGGTGCTTTTAGCTCTTTGATTGCAAAAGCTGCTCAAACAAAGTTATCAAAAGACAATTTTCTAAGATCTGTTGAGAGTAGCAATTCAACTAGGAATTCCAGATCTGAAATGGTATCTTCTAGAAAAATTGATGCTGGTGGATTATCCCAAGCAACTGCAAGAAGAATTTTGGAAGTAATAGATGACTCACTCCCATTGGCAGTGCCACCGTTATCCCCTCCCACCCATGATCATGCTGACCTTATAATATCTTAGTTTTTTTGACTGACTTCTTGCCATTGCCAGAATTTATTTTGAAGATAATCTGATACTTGGATTGTGGGGAAAAATTAAACAAGACAAGATAGAAGCTCTTCTGGCTGTCATGATGGGCCTCTTCCAGTTTTTGGATTCATGGGGTTTTTCCCGATCATTACCCAAGCGCTTATGTAAATTTCAGGTATAGATTGTAGGCTTAGTGTAGAAATCATACAGCAGATTTTGCTAGCATTTTCATTATTCTTTTTTCTTTTTTTTACCTTTCATATGTTTTTATTTCTTTCACCCCCTCCCCTCCTATTTTTAGAGACATTTGGGGCAGATTGGCTCCCTTTGTATTGGAAAATAGCGGTCGATTGTATTTTTTACATATTGAGAGAGACAATGTTATACAGGTTAAGATTTTTCCCCCGGTTGGAAGTTGAAATGGTTAATGCAATGAAAATGTTGTTCAAGCATTATAATTGAATTCATTATTGCTGTTGTTCATCCAAAGGTAAGTGAAAGAGTTTATAGTTTGCAGAATCTGTGTAGTCGATGAAAAGGTGGTCAGAGGACTAAATTTAAGTGCACTAAAATGCCTATAGGTAGCATTTGATATATATATATATATATATATATATATATATATATATATATATATATATATATATATATATATATATATATATATATATATATATATATATACACACACACGGTAGAACGAGATGGAAACATAATGTATGGGTTTGTTTTAGGCGTGGCATGACACTGCTGAAAAATTGATTTCTTAGTTACATTAGAAGAATGAGAAGAAAAAAAGAGAGAGAAATACAATAGTCTGTTTCATTTCTTTTTAACTGTCGATTCTTTTTAAGTCTCTCCAGGACATGCAACGGAGAAAGAACCAGAAGTCTTGCCCTGATCGTTTATCACAATTCCATTTTCAAATCTAACAACCTTTCCAACTCATTTTTTTAACATGATATACACAGTGTTCTAAGTTGACAATTTAAGATAGTTTATATTTATAGAATATAATTTTTACTGATTAAATATTATTTTAATATCAATGAGAATCAACGTTTAGGTTTCCAACTCATTTTAAAGAAGTTTACGTCAATTTGACGAAAATCATTAATTTGAACAGAGCAATTTGAAACAATAAGATTGCTACGAAATTATAAGGTTAACTCATGTGGTTAAAATATCTTATTTTTCTTCATTTTATATTTTAAGGGTAAGACTACATAAATTTATTCTATTCAATAACTTATGTTTTGTATAATGAAATAAAGTATTAAATAATTTTAATTTTTTTAAAAAAATTTGTAGACTTAAGCTGGGTATTAAAAATTTTAAATTTAACGGTTAAATTGTTAAAAACTAATGTAAAATATGAATTATCGAATAGGATAAATTTAAATAACACTCAATATATGTATATATATATATATATACCTAAACATTCTATGAGAACTTATTTTTCCTTTTAATAATTACAATTGATAACGTAACTTTGTAGGCAAATTAAAATTTTATTCTATTAATAAATAATTTGAAATTTAGTAATTAGTTTTTTTTAAAACATACCTTATCATGCCTCTAAAAGTAAATTAATATTCTAATATGTGTAACAACGTAAGCAATAACCAACTAACTAGTTTTTTTTTTTTTTTTTTTTTTTTTTTTTTCTTTACCAAAAAAAAAACTAGGTAATACAACGGTAGGTACTTGAGTACTTCGGTGTACCAACCCTTTGATGGTACAAATGAAAAAGATTTTGTTGAATTTTAGTCTCTGATTTAGGGTTTTCATCGTACAAAAAATAAAATGCATTACGAAGGCGTTTGCTACATGTAAAATTTTAGTTTCCATGATCAAAAGTTGTTTTTCCATATTTGATTTATTATTTAAAATAATATCAGGGAAAAGTATTGTCTTTTGATGATTTTTTTTTTAACGTAAGCTTCCAACGAAATTGTTTTTATGCAGAAGTGAAAATTTAATTTTCGACTTCAAAGAAAAAAATTTACTGTTCCAAAAAATATCTCTTTTATCTTCATTAATTTATTTAATGGGGTAAATAACTCTTGAAAAAGTTATGTTTAGAATTAATGTGGTAAATAATTCTTGAAAAAGTAGTGTTTAGACTAAACTTATAAATATTTAATTCATAAAAAATATATATAAATATTTTTAAGAATATTTATGATCAATTAAAGTTATTCTTATGAATCATAATTCTTGAAATTTATGATTCTTTTAAATGAGATGTTTTATTTTTTCTATTTTTATTTTTTTAATTAAACATAGGATGTGTAAAAGGAGTTTTATATTAATTGATATCAATCGATACAAGTAATAACAACTTGTATTCTTTAATAAAGATTTTTAGAGTTTAAATTCTAGTTCTTGTCCCAAGTTTTAAATAAACTATGTTACAAAAGTAATATTCACCTTTTATACTTTCATAATTTTTGATCGAGATTATTGATTTTATATTATAAAAAAAATTATATTATCATTTAAATTACAAACTTTTATGTATGAAAAGTTTGTTAATTTTTATATAATATCTATTCTAAAATCATACTCCCTTTGTTCTTTATTATAAGAGAAAAAAAATCTAATTTCACACATATTAAAAAAAATAGTTAATTGCATTATATTTATTAATCCCATAATATTATTCCAAATTTTATAAATATCCAAAAAAAGATAGTATAATTTAAAGATCATATATTTTTAAAAAATATTTTAGGAGGAATATTATTAAATAAGATAAAAATAATTAAACTTTACTTATATTTAAGAAAAAATGTACTTATTTGTTTCTTGTAATAGAAGACAAAGTAATTAATATGAATTTTGATTGATTAATAAATATTTTATACTCAATTAAACTCTTCTAATATACAACAATAGATACACTTTTCTGTCGTATTTGATTTTTCTATTCATAAATTTGACATGATTAATCCAAGGGTGATATTATTAAAATTGAGAAAATAGTTGAATAGATCTATCAAGAAACTATTACAAAACAAAAAATATTAATGTTATAATGTGGGAGAAAATAAAAATAAGCATGATTATTGATGGTTTGACCATGAGTTATTTATTGAGTTTGAGTCATTAATGTTAAGTTACAACATTCATTTAATTAAGTAATTAAAATATTATAATTTTTGTGAGGTAGCATGACTAATTAAGTTTCTTTGTTTTAATTAGTTAAAATTTAAAATTAAATTATTATTTTTATATATATTTTATATATTTTCATACAGATTTGTGTTAGGATAAGATATGTAATTTGTAATTCCAATGCCTTACCCTAATTTAAAAAAATTATATTAAAAGAAAACAACAAAGAATAGGTTAATGAGAAAAAAGTTAAATTAGAGTTTTATTAAGTTTTAACTAAATTTCTATAGTTAAATACACTATTATTTAAAAAACTATAATTAAATATTTACATACACCATCATAATACTATTTTATATATTAAGAAATTAATAGTAACTCTTCCAACAAATTTATTGTATAAAAAATTTCAAATTACATATAAGAAAATAAATCAAATACATAATATATTTATTGCATAATAAATTACAAATAACTCATAATAAATCTCATGTAACTTATTTTAATTTAATATTAAAAAAATAAAATTAGGTAGATTAATAAGCTAATCTATCATGATTCGCCATTTGGCTTAACATGCTAAGCAGGATGGGTAAAAATGCTCAACCTGGCTTGATACTTTTTTTGTGGGCCAACGATTTAGTCTGCTGGTAGAGACCTATTTTACCATCCTTATTCAAGATAATATTTCTATCCCTCTTAATAATGAATTTTATATTAATAATATTATAACAATACGACATATTTATTTTAAATTTTATTTTATATTAATGTTAGTTGTTCGACTAGATAACAATATAGTAAATCAATAAATATTTTATAATCTAGTTTATATTATTATTTACTTTATAAATTGATCAGATTGCATTTTTAACAAGATATCAAATGATTTATATCTATTATAAAATATTTAAATTTTTATCAATGAATAAATAAATTTAATTATATGAAAGCTTGAAGTGCAATGCCATCTCAGATTTCCTCTATCCACCGAGCCTCCTGTCTTCACAATTTGCAAGCCTTTACTTTACACATGCACAATCTCATTTTAACCAAAAGCATATTCATATTTATAATTTGCAAGGCTTATTTAGATGGTTTAAAAACTGTAGTAAAAACATCGTATAATTTAAACAAAGAAAAAAAATCCTCTAAAAACCACTTGAATAGATAACTTTGCCTATAAAATAATCAATTCACATCTCAGTGATCTTTTAATTAATCTGAGGCATTAGAGAAATATAATGGTTTACAATGAAAGAAGCTATAGTCTCGAGGAGGTGCTAACCAAGACAACTCCATTGGAGAGAAAAGGGAGGTGCATTGATGAGAGAGGTCAGATAAATTATATTTTATTTTAATATTAAATCTTAAACTACTAAAATAACCTTAAAAAAATAAATAATAATTATAAATAATAATTTATAAATCTTAAATCTTAAACTTTAAACTATTTTCAGGTAATGCTAACGCCGACATGATGAATGAAGGAGATCGCACTGCAACTTTCCAAGTAGAGTGGTGTTATGTTCCCTTGTCATTTCAATAGTCTTCCATTTTTTTTTAAGTCTTTGTTTTATATCAATCCACCAAGTACATACCAAATTAAGATTTTGTTTAGAAAAATAACCTAATTAATATTTTATTTAAGAAATACTTATTGTATATAAATTTATGTTATAAACACTTAAAATTTAATGTCTTTATGAATTTGAATATATTGTTAGTAGACGTTTACATAATTTTAATGTGTTTGGATATATTATTAAATAATTACTTATAAAATAATTTGATTCAATAGTCATAAAGTTTATATTAGGATAGGATGTCGACATAATGCTTTCAGTTTTGATTAATGTTTGTATTAAAATAATATTTAATCAGTAAAAATTATATTTTATATTATAAGTATATATTAATTCTTAGTTATCAGTTTTAAAATAATTATATGCATGAAAAAAATTAATTTATAAGATATTACATTTTAAAATTAGGAAAACAAATCATGATTGAAAATAAATTAAATTTTTTAAAAGTAACTAAACAATTAATATACTAACATTACAAATAAAAAAATTATTAAAAATAAAAACTTACTCACCATTTTTTTTTTTAGATTTTAAAAATAAAGGCTAAGTATCATAAATTTAAAAAATATGCGAGACAGACACACAAAAAAAAAAATCACCATACATCTATCAATAATTTTAAAAATCAAAATATTTGATGATTAAAACATGATTTAAATATAAATTAAAATGATATATCTTAAAATCATTATACAAGCTTAAAATATTTACCATTTATATGTATAAAAAATCTACGTATATATATAAAAGA